ACAGTATATTCTGTGAAGCACTTTGAGATATTTCAACGACATGATAAGGTGCTATAATCAAATGTAAGGACTAATATTATTATATATATTAGATGTCAGCCTGGCTCGGTTTGAAGTCCTCTTGTTTCTTGATTGTGGTTTGAAGCTCCAAGTAGTGACTTTGAAACCAGTCTAGGCTCATTCCACTTCAATGCTGGGGGCACACTGCATGCCTGAGGTTTTGTGCTTCAGGTGAGACGTTAAACCGAGACTCTGTCAGCCTGTTCAGGTGGAATATTAAAGATCCCATTTCTATTTGGAAAGAGAAGGGAGTTTCTCTCGGTGGCCTGGCCAACGATCCCCGAGATAACATTAGTCAGTTTTAGTCATCACTATTTGTGCAAGCTCACTACTGCATTTGCCTAAAATATCCTTTACAGAAACTTAGATACATTCTTAAAGTCATGGGTGCTTTTTCAAATGTGCTGATGTCTGGTTCTATTTTACAGACATTACTGTGTACACATGGCATAATACAGAATGGAAGGAACAATGTAATGGATTAGAAATCCTTCAACTGCTGAATCAAAAATCTTTAAACTCTCAATAAAGAACTTGTCCTTGCCTGTAGTATATTACTCCATATTACCACTGTGCTGATTCCCGATGCCATATTATTCCCATATGTTGGCTGAGATTTAGCATTCAAAATTCTCTGTTCATCGACCTACTCAGTACATTTAATGGTTTCTCACAGAACAGTTGGCAAGTTGTTCATGCCCAGAATAAGCGAGGAGCTGAGTTCTGTACGTGAGCTAAGCACATTGACTCTAAAGAGTGAGCATGAATTGCTGAAAGGCTTCAGTACTGCATCACGTAATATCTTAATGAAATCAATATCAGCGCCTGACCTAGAGTTTCCCAAAAGGAGGTTTGGCATTTGGCCCAAGAACATTGTGTGATCTAAAGGCATAAAGATGTCGATGACATCATGGGCAGATTGTATTGATGGCTCAATCTATTTGTCTTTGTATGGTATCCTGCAAGGGCAATTGAGATGGGTGTTGAGTGCACAGGACTTGATAGGTTGATGACTGATCTTTTACAGCTCGCTTCTTCTTTCAGAAGTTATGACCGTGGATTGACCGTGTTGGGGACTAATCGTCTTTTGCAAATGAACCTCTTCAGAATCTTATAGTTATTTCACTTTAATATTCTCTGTCCAACCTTTAAGGTTCATCAAGGAGACTGAACTACACACTATGTACAATGTTTATTTTAACCAAATTGATATATTACCTCCTTTCTTGCAGAGTTGGCTAATTTAATGTACAAACAATACCAAAAAAACTGAACTAAATTTCAAGAATATACTGTATTAATGCAGTACTTTGTAAATTGGATTAGTAAATTGCACATCGTAATTCACATTGCCCTCTGCAATCCAAGCAGTTATTTGAGATAAATAATTCACTCACAAATAGAATTCTCCATTCATTCAATCTGTTAATCCTGCACTTCATTGCTTGTGAAACTGCACCGCAATATCAAAAATATACCTCGAGTCCTACCTATTCAATCAGGATTCTGTATCCCAGGTGGTAATTTCACTCTCTCCTTCATCCTCCTCTCTCCCTTACATATCAATGATGAATGTTCCATTATGCCAGTCATCCGCTGAGCTCTTGAATTTCCTTGCTTGTTGAGCGTGCAAAATTATATCAACAATAACTTGCATTTATGCAATACCCTTGATGCAGGACAGTGCCTCAGAGTACTGCTTATCCATACAATATGGGGGTGGATGTCTAAATAGCAACTATTTGTATCTGGATTCCTATTGACTCTAGGTTGCAAATTGGGATTCCTTCCAGCGCCTGGAAGTATGTTGTGCTGACCCTTTTTAGACAGTTTTTTGAAAACTGAGAAGGAGGATGTGAGGCGGAGGGATTTAGGGAAAGTGTTCCAAAGAACTCAGAGTTGTTATTAAGGAATTCCCATTAGAAATCTCTGCAACTGATGTGCTCGCAACACCTAACTGTTTAATGAAAATATCTTCGGCTGCAAAATTGTAACTGTGTCACGTGCTAAGGAGCCTGAATGAATCTATTTCGGTTAAGTGAAGCTTCGAAAGATTTTAATCTTGATGGCTCTGGGTTTAGCTGTGTTGGGATTAGGGGAAGAAGGTAGAAAAGAAAGCAACACTGTAAAAACAGTGATTTCAGCCTGCAATTGCTTCTTCAAAGAATCGCCAGAGGTCAGTATCTACTGCCTACGGTTTGCAAACAGAAACAGAAAGTCTGTATTCCTCTTTACTCTAGATTTCATGGAATAGTGTGTACAACGACTGTACATAATAGTGTTCCAAACTATCAAAATACATAGCATTTTGGAAACAGAAATCTTCATCTCGTACTCATTTTTGAATGAATTTTAGATGCTTTGTGCTACGCACTGTAGTTGGCAATGAATCTTTACAGTAAATCGTGGGAGCACGGGTCACTCAACAAACTGAAGTGTCGTGACTGTGTAATTCCGTAGGTGAACTTGGTAGCCAATTTGTGCACAGCAATGCCCCGCAAACACCCATTGAAAGGAATGACCAATTCTATCTAGGAGAAAAACTCCCTTCTCTTTTTGAGTAGTGCCGTGGAATAACATTCACCTGAACAGGAAAGGAGGATCTTGGGTTAACATCTCATCAGATGTTTAATGTCCAAATCAGAAATTTCACCTTGGTGTAGACTCAGATTTTTTTCTCAGCATCTCAGAGTGTACAAATTTTGGACAATCCTTAACTTGAATCTGAATTTTGAAGCAAGTTTTGAGACGTGATGTTTACACACTTCCTATGCATAGCAAATCACAGTATCATGCTACTGGTTAACCTGGGTCGAAGGTAGACCTGAGCTATAAGCGAGGCAGCGCTCTATTGAAGGACTTAGTAACAGGGTTTCCCTCGAGCTATAGCTGAGAAGAAGTTTGCACATAAAGTCTTGTAGCGTATTGATTAGAATATTCACCTTGCAATTGAGAGGACCCAGGTTTGATTCCCAGGCAGCGCGGAAACTTATAAATAAATAATTTGGTCACTCAATCCAAACTGTTTGTGGGACATTGCTGTGCACAATAAGATGCTGCATTTCACCCACCGACAAAATATACAGAATTTGTCGTATATTCTGTGAAGAACTTTGAGATGTGTCAATGACCCGATAAGGTACTATCTCAAAAGCAAGGATGATTATTATTATTAGGTTTAAAATGTTTCTGTGGAGTCTGTTCAGCTTCATACTGGTTCCTCATTATTCCACTGGAAAACTTTAAATGCCACAAAAGAAAGTTGGAGGATTGCCGATTTACTAAAGTGCGTTCACTTTGCTTTTCAGTGATGTCTATTTTCCCGTTTTACTATCAACACTGTTAAAGACATGCTTTGTTTATTCTATATCTATGGGGCCTGAGAAGCGCCATTCACAATGAGCACAATGGGTCGCTACAAATCATTTGTCTTATCAGGCACATTGAATGTTTGTCCAATGCCAGCTCTGAATAAGACCAACTCGACTTCCATTTGTAAATAGTACTAGACTCGGCTCGCTATAACTAAGCTCCTATAACTGGATGCCAAAGTAAAAGGGAAATTTATTGTTCCAGTGAGTGGGTTTATTAACCTACTGGTGTTATTTTTGGTTGATGGCTTTCAACCCCCATTAAAAATCCAGACAACTATTTCATTCACCTTTATGCCAAGGTATAACCTGTACCAACCAGACAATTTCAGATTGCAGCTATAAATTATATTACCGCAGGAAAAGCTGGAAGGGAAACGAGACAAAGGCAGTGCATCAAAGCCACTATTGAGCACGAATAGCGGTATACATGAGTGTTCCTATTTCCCCGTGTTGTAACCATTTTATTACAAAAGTTTAAATTCTGTTTGAATGAATGAATGGGTATCTTCTTGAGCTTCTACCTGGATTTTTAAAATATCAAAATGTTTGTGTCACATTTAAAATCCACTTTCCCCCATGCTGGAATTATCCTTAAATCAATGTGGATTCTATGTCTGTGTGTAAAGCAGCTCAAGTCTACGTGTAGTACGTTTGTCTAATAAATCAGAGCTGTGTCCTTCTCAGTGGATGAAATGAGTGAATTTCTACGGATTCAGTGGGAAATAGTTTCGCTGAAAAGGAAAGCATGAGTTGCGCAAATTTCAATTTCACCCTTGTAAAGGGACCTTGGGTTCACTAAAGCATTTTTATACAGTTCCGTGAGGTTTAAAAGTCCTTGCGCAATGTTTCACTTGTTAAAGCTTGTCTGTCTCAAACAGAGCCCGTCATTTTTACACCTGGGTTTTTTTTAAATTTCGCATATATAACATTTTTACCGAGTGCAGTATATATTTTTTTGTTTTGCAAAGACAGCAGACCTCAATGAAAGCAAAAGAATCGCTATCATTTTGTACTTGCTGTGCAAATAAAGAGGACAAGGTCTGTGCTTTGTTGTAAGCAAGAATGTGAAAAGACTGATAAATTGAGAAAAGGACCAGGGAAGCTGCTATTGGGTCATTTTTATTAATGTACATCCAGGCTCTGTGAAAACCTCAGCACGTTTAAGGACTGTTTGTCTCCAGCTGTATGTAGCAAGGCAATTCAAGTGATTTTTATTGTCTGAGGTGGTTGAGATTCAGAGTTTGCTGTGTAGCTTTCCGTCTCCCTCCTTCCTACTCGCCCAACCTCCACACCCCCTTCCTTCAGTGCATCAAGGTTCCCAGGGTAGGTGCTGGAATGCAAAGTCTAGGAATATTACTTGAACAGCAGGGGGTCAGACATCAGCCGATATTGGGGTCACTAAGGAAATGATTCGTAGTAAATTTGTTTCATCAACTCTTTCTTCGATGCTCTCCTAGGAAACGACTGTCAGTGTTATGAACTCCGATCGGGGCTTTTGTGTTTGTCGTCATTGCATACCTCCCTTGTGCACCTTCTGGTCTTGACTGCAGTTGTTTCACTCGACAGATAAAAACAGCGAAAAGCCAGAAGGAAACGCAGCTTCTGCAGCTCCGCAGCCTCCAGTACCTGGAGCGATACATTTACCTCATTCTCTTCAACACATATCTCCATTTGGAAAAGAAAGATTCCTGGCAACGGCCCTTCAGTGCTTGGATGTACGAGGTAAATAAGTAACACTCTACGGACTAAGAGATCAAAGCAATTCACTGCAATTAATAATTGAATATTCTCCCAACAATCAGTTCTCCAGATACATTACTCTTTCACTTCAAATCCAGTTGCTATAATCAAATTGGTTGCTGCATTTGCCTATAAATAATAATAATCCTTGCATTTGATATAGCATCTTATCACGTCTTCAAGACATCTCAAATTCCTTCACAGAATATACTGTAAAGTGAACTGAGTGTATAATTTGTGGGCGAAACACAGCAGCTAATTGTACACAGCAGTGTCCCACAAACAGTCGTGGATTGACTGACTAAATTATTATTCCTGTAGCTCAGTGGCTAGAGCCCTCGCCTTGCAAGCGAGAGACCTGGGTTCAATTCCCGGCAGGGTGAAACCTTGGGCAAGTTTCCTTACTCCACACCCCTGATAATAATCTCTCAAGAAAAAAAACAATAATAAATGGGTCACTTCAATCCACTTCAATGTTTGTGGGATATTGCTGTGCCACATTTCGCCCACAAATATACAGTCAATTCACTTTACAGTATATTCTGTGAGGCACTTTAAAACCTCTGGAAGATGTGAAAAATGCTCTATCAAATGCAAGGATTATTATTATTCTTTCACAATAACAATCTCTTGCAGAAATATATATGGCAGCCTTCATGCAAGGTAGTGTCACAGAGCACTCAATACACCTGGCACCAATGAAATGCTTTGAGATGTTTGGACATTATGGGCTATTTATAAATTAAACAAGGTTTATTTTATTACTCTATACTGTAAATCGACAAACCAAGTGTTCAACCTCAGATCTACGAACAATCCATTCAGGAGATTGTCCTGTCCTGAAGGTGCTTTCTGAGTCATAAGAACGTACAAATTTGCGAGGTGAAAAAAGTCCAAGGTCCATCTAGTTTGCCTTAGAGTTGCACAGTATAAGTTTGATGCCACTTTCCACTAAAGTTAGCACCCAGTTGCGGGACTGCTATGTGACTCCAAAATGATGCCATGTAGATCCCGTTGCTAGGGTGGAAGTGACCTTTGTTAGACGTGGACTTAACTGTTTTTAAAGCCCCGAAATACAGTTTGCTTTTGGATTTCTGAATGTCGACCGGACAGGATGGTGTGTGTGTGTGAGAAAATTGGATCATGTGATGAGTTAATTAACACTTTGCAATTTTCACCTGGATACCTTAAGCCTCCACACAAGAGAAGATAAGTCATTTTCCAAATTGAAATGCTCTGCCTTTTCCGTGAGCTGTTATTTTCCGCCTGGCATTGATCTCCTTGCGACAGCTGTGCCAAAGTTTGCACTGGGCCTCCAGGAGCACAGGGTCACGATGCTCAACCTGCTGTGGCACAGAATCCCCACTTATCATGTGGTGGGAAGGTGGGGCTTAGATTGGTGCAGAGCTGGGTGTGAAAGTGATTTGGGTGTAAAAGGTCATAACTGGCTCCAGTCTGTGCGGTCGAGCATATTGAATTTAGGAAGGCCCCAAGGTTCAGTTCCCAATCTGTGCCAAGCTAACTAATCCTAACTGAGGTGCCAACAATGACGCTACAAATGACTTCAGTGGCCCTGGGCTAGGAAAGAGAAGATCAGCCAGGTTTCCTGTTCCCAAACACCATCCAGGAATATTGTCTAATCAGAGCACAGTGCAGATGTTGGACGAGGATGGGATTAGGTTTGGCTGCAATAGTTCCACTGGTTGAATAGGCTGCTGTCAATCACAGTTGCACATAAAAAAGTCACATTTTTAACTTTTATTTAAAGAATGAAATCGTTGAATCCTGACTCACTCACCATTTCTTGTTGCTCTCACTTCTCCCAAGGCAACAGTGTTGCTGTGGGTAAGGTTCCACAGAGACTGGCGGGCTCCTGCTAACTCACCCAAGTTGCCATTCTCCACATGTGATCAAAGATGGTGCGTCTTGCAGAGCTATTTAACCGTGGGACGAGTTGTGGTAGAGCCCAATGCTGTCCTCGTCTGTCATGTACACAAACGCCTACACACTTACACCAGGCAAGATCATTGAAATGGCAGGACTGCAATCAAGGAGTGGGAACTGATTTTTATTCCCCCATCTCCTTTCCAAGCCAGGGACAGAAAGGTCAATTGAAACAATCGTACACTCAATTCATCAGCCAACTGCTTAAAAACCTCAGAGAATCTAGCATTTTCTGTTCTGCAGCTCATCAGAATGTGTACTCCTGATCACAAAAGAGGCCCATTTCACCATAGGGTCGTCCCGTTCTCACTCCCATCCCCAGGCTAGTTCCTTAATTCTAAAAGAATAACCCAACAAGATAAAGTATGGAATAAGAAAAAACTCGAGAAGATTGCTTCTTTCACAGACACTCAAGGATTATTGCGAACTTCATTCATTCCTTTCATTTCTTCCTGCACAGAGACTATAATTATTTACGAATCTTAGAATTCCATTGATTCTATACAACCAGACATATATCTGAAAAATACATTGAGCAGGCTTTATGATTATTCCTTAGGAACCAGAACTAGAACAGCAGGCTAATTTTCCTTCAGGTGGCATATATTGGTCAAATTCAGTCTACTGAGGGGCAACATAACCTTGATCGTACGGTAATCAATGCTGATAAGGGCTTTGTCAACATAACCTTGAAGCTTCGAGTTGCTTTTTAGCTGTTCTAAATGCTCCATGAGATAAACTTTGGGAATTTATTCTTCCATGTTCAAAGATGCTACCAACTAAACCAGGCTATGGAGTCCTGTAGCTCAGTGGTTAGAGCATTCGCTTTGCAAGCGACAGACCTGAGTTAAATTCCAGGCAGGGCGAAACCTTGGGCAAGTTTCCTTACTCCACACGCCGAATAATAATCCCTCCAAAACCAAAAACAATAATAAAATTGGTCATTTTCAATCTACGACTGTTTGTGGGACACTGTGTGCAATTGGCTGCCACATTTTGCCCCAAAATACACAGTCAATCCACTTTACAATATATTCTGTGAAGTATTTCGAGACATCTCAACGATGTGATAAGGTGCTATATCGAATACAAGGATTATTATTATTAAATAAATAAATAGATATGGGATCCTGGACATTCCACCGCCCAAGAGGCTGAAGTTCAAAAAGAACTTTGTCTTTGAAAATTGCTTACTCCAACTTATCTGGATAACTGCAGAGTTACATTTTCCTTGCATTACTGTATCTCCACCCGCACTCAGATACACTGTGACAATAAGATGTATTGTCACCTCTGGTGATATGGCTGTTCTTGCCACATAGAGCATGTATAATAGTTGGACCGGAGGGGTACTCGGCTTTGTGAGTCTTGATTATTTATTGTAAAAACAAGGGTAAGTTTGGGAAAACTTAATTTTCACACATTTGAACAAAACCCAGTAACTTAACCAATTCCAGCAGCTTTATTCCTATTTTCGACTTATTAGATATTCAGGAATTTTTAATGAATCTTTCCTGTCCTAATTGGGAGTTTGTTTGAAAATTATTTTAAATTAGCTACATTTTTTTCAGATAAATATGTAACGCATCTAATACTAAACTCTGCTCTGCTTTTGCCTCAAGTTCATGACGTTCATGAGAGAAATTTAAATAAAACTTTTTATAAATTGAAGAATTTGGGCATTTCATTAACATAGAATAAGAATTCCTGAAATTAATTTGAGTTAATAGATCAGCAATACTACAGTATTTAGTTCTGGTTTGTGTGGCATAAAATTACAAAGCAGTCCATAAACATTGGATTCTGTAGATACTGTGGCTTGTTTGTTTGTGAAATGGATTTGAATGCCTGGGTTTTTCTGTGCTGTGATCCGTAACTGCAGTTTCGAAAGGTTTTCAGCTGGAATTTACAAGCTTATTCTGCTTCTTTTGTCACTGCATGTTTCACATGTTAAACTTAATAAAGTCTGGGGGTTTTGTTTTCGTTGGTGCATTAATCGCTATCTGTGGTTTGGTCAGCTGTACTCAGATAGTAAAGACTGGAATTTCTGTGCATTCTTTACAAATTACAGCCCAGCTGTCAAATTTTCCCCACCCCGGATGTTGTTCCAACTTGACTTTTTTTAATCTATCACTGATTATTACTAGAGGGATAAAGGGAGAAGTTAGTCAATTTCTTTTACGTAAAAGGTTATTAAGATATTGTTAGGACTCATGGTCTAGGCTAACAGTCCAACTCAGTGTTGGGGGTGGGGAGTGCTGCATTGTCAGAGGTGCCCGACTGTCAAATGAGACATTAAACTGAGGATCCGTTTGGCTGTTCAGTGGACTTAAAGAACCCATGACACTGTTCGAAAATCAAAGGGAATTTCTCCCAGTGTCCTGGCCAACAATCCTCCAGGTAAAATTAGTCATTCGCCTCATGGCTAATTGTGGGGCATGGCTATTAATGACAATAATCATCCTTGCATTTGGTATAACACATTTCACGTCGGGAGGACATCTCAAAGCGCTTCACAGGATTTATTGTTAAGTTTAGTGACGGTATTTTGTAGGCAAACATGAATGATCTGACGAAAGGTCATCAAGGTTAAACTTGAACTCACTTTCCGCTCCCCAGTATATCTGCAGTATTTTGCCTTTTGTTTTATGAAAGATCTTTGTATGATTGAAGCATGAGCCAAAAAGCCTTTGGTCAATTTCAGATCCTATGCAATATAAAACAAAAGTACATGACTTACAGCTCTCCAGTGAATGAACATGTGGCACAAACATTAGCAGAGTACACATAGGTCACTACTTTATTGGTGATTTTGTACACAGCACATTTATTATACAATATTCCCCCAAGATTGATGAATCTAAAACCGTCCCCTTTTCCTGTTCACGCTTCGCCACAGTAATTTTTATGATTTGGCAAAAACAACTAGAACAATGTGCCTCTTCGACCGTGCCATTGATGACCCTCCTTCCCCTCCCTGTCCTCCACCCTCCCTAATCCCGAATCCCAGCTCGGGTCCGAAACACTGATTGTCCAGC